TCTCCAGAATACCAGTTGTATGAAGAATCCTCTAACACATATCCAAGAAACCCTGGGCATCCTCGCCTTCTGCACCATTGAAAGTCGCAGGCTGAAGTATACCAAACCTCTCCAATCTACGCTGATCGTCATCAGGCATGACTGGAACCACATAATCCTGAGCAGGTGCAACCGGCTGGGCTCGTGGTGCCTCCGGTGTCTGTAGTCCCTGAACAACCTGCTCGGGTGTACGGGCGGCGGGAGTTTGAGGGCCTCCCATGGCCTGGGAAGTAGCTGGTGTAGTAGAAACAGCGACCGAAAAAATGGTGCACACTGTCAAAATCTAAGTTAAGGTCTCCTAAAGACCTGGGATAACAACAGGCACAACCGGTGCCTGGGCTGGTCCCGCTAGAGCATCCACAACTGGGACCTAATCATGAACTGGTGCGGCTGGTGGATCTACAGGTGCTGCCCTAGATGATGTGCGGGCTACACCACTGCCCCTACCACGGCCTCGACCGCGACCTCAGCCTCTCGCGGCCCCAACTGGTGGTACTGGTGGCCGTCCATCCTGACCGGTAGCACGTGTCCTCACCATCTGTGAGAGAATAGAATAACATAAGTTTAGTTACCAGAATCAACAGATTCGCAGGACAAGAATTCAAGAATGTGAAGTTTTCCTAAAGGTTCTGCAGCCTCTTAAAGATAAGTGCAGACGTCTCCGTACCGATCCGCAAGACTCTACTGAACCCGCTCATGACCTGTGAGACCTATGTAACCTAGGCTCTGATACCAACTTGTCACGACCCAATACTAACCCCGTCCTGATGGCGCCTATCGTGGTACTAGGCAAGCCGACACATTTCCAACGATATTTTCATTTAAAAGACAAATCCCAAGATATATAATATAAAACCTTAAATAAGGAATTCAGATCAAACAGAAGTGCGGATAAGAAAGCCCGACATCGGGGTGTCACTGAGTCATGAGCAACTACGATAAGCTGTTCTGAAAGATAGCAAGACAAACATAGTCTAGAAAATAACTAAATACAACTAAAGGAAAATAAGAGGGAGAAGAACAAGGCTGCGATCGTCAGGCAGCTACCTTGCTATCTCCGAATGATCAGCAACTGGAATAGTCAACAGCCGCTACCATGCCCAGATACACCTGGATCTGCACACAAGGTGCAAGGAGTAACATGAGTACTTCCAACTCAATAAGTAACAGAAATAAATAAGGAACTGAGAAGCAGTGACGAGCTATGCAAATACAATGTATTTCAGTAAACTTCATCAAGGATAGGCATGCTTTCAAGTTCAGAAGTTTAAGTCAAATCAGTTCATGCTCAAGTAACAGATAACAAGTCTTTTACAGAGTTACATAATAAGTACAGAAAACAATTACGTGCAAACATAATGGAAAGCAAGTACAGTCTCTCAAGATACTGTCACTCAACTCATCTCAGCAGCTCAATCACTCGGCTCTCAGCCCTCAATAATCACACTCAATAGGTACATGTGCTCACTAGGGGTGTACAGACTGCGGGGGGCTCCTTCAGACCAAGCGCTATAATCCGCACGGACAACTCACATTCTATAATATCAGTATCAGAATCCGCACGGCCAATTCACGTGCTGCACGGATAACTCACATGCTATAGTCTCATTATCAGAATCTGCACAGTCAACTCACGTGCTATAGTCTGAATATCCTCACAATTAGGCCCTCAGCCTCACTCAGTCGTCAATCTCTCCAGTCTCTCGGGCTCTCAGGAATCACATAAACAGCCCAACAGAAACAAGATCAAGTATCAACAATGAATAGTAAGAGACTGAGGCATAATAGGCAAGAAAAGCTATGACTGAGTACAAAATAGCAATTAGAAGCAAACATAGCCAGTACATGACCTCGCAGGTCTAAAAAGTGATCACATAAGGCCTAATCATGATTTCTAACATGAAGTAGAGTCAAATTCCATGAAAACAGAAGGAACGTGTATTAAACAGTAGGCCAATTGATTCCACAGTCTCACGAGACGGACCAAGTCACAATCCCTATGGTGCACGCCCACACGCCCGTCACCTAGCATGTGCTTCACCTCCAAAATAGTCATACGACACGGTTTCTGGGGTTTCATACCCTCAGGACCAGATTTATAACAGTTACTTACCTCAAACCGAGAAAAATCCTACTCCGCGATGCCCTTGCCTCTGGAATTGGCCTCTGAACATCCCGAATCTAACCAAAAGCAATACAATGCAATCAATATAGGCCTATGAACCAATTCCACACAAAAAACTATCGATTTAGACCAAAATGCCGAAATTCACCCAAACCCGGCCCCTGGGCCCACGTCTCGGAATTCAACAAAAATCACAAAATTAGAAAGCTCTTTCACTCATGAGTCTATCCATACCAAATTCATCAAAATCCGACATCAAATGGTCCTTCAAATCCCCAAATCAAACTCTCCAATTCTCAATCCCTAACCGCTCATTTTCACCCCTAATTTCCACTAATTAATTGATTAAACAACGGAAAACATCATAAACACGAGTATTAGGGCTCAAGCAACTTACCTCACTGAAAACCCTTGAATCTCCCTTCAAAATTACCCCAAAAGCTTCAAAACCCGTCTTCAAAAATGGTGGAAATGAGCAAAATTTGCGAAGTCTCCAATTTATAGGTTCTGCCCAGCAAAACCGCATCTGCGGTCCCTTTTCCGCATTTGCGGGACCGCTTCTGCGAAAACCTCAACGCTTCTGCGGAATTCCATTAAAAGACCACTTCTGCTTCTGCGATTGCTTGACCACATGCGGTCATCGCAGATGCTGGGACCAAGCCGCACCTGCGATCCCAGCTGCGCACTTGCGCCTCAGACCCGCTTCTGCGGACCTCGCACCTGCGGTTCCCACTACGTAGGTGCGGTTAAGACAAAATCAGCAGCTTCAGCTGCGTTATAAAGTTTCCAAACTCTCTGCCAACCATCCGAAGTCATCCCGAGGCACTCGGGACCTCAACCAAAAATACCAACAAGTCACATAACAACATATGAACTTAGTTTAACCTTCGGGACACTCAAAACAACATCAAAACACCAAATTACCCTCGGATTCAAGCGTAAGAACTTCTAAACATCCGAATTCCGCAACGACGCCAAAACCTACTAATTCACCTCCAAATGACTTGAAATTTTGCACACACGTCACAAATGACACTACGAACCTACCCCAACTTCCGGAATTCCATCGATCCCCGATATCAAATTTTCCACAACCGGTCGAAAAATGCCAAATTTTTTATTTCGCCAATTCAAGCATAATTCTACCATGGACCTCCAAATTACATTCCGGATGCACTCCCAAGTCCAAAATCACCTAGCGAAGCTAACATAACCATCAAAATTCACATCCGAAATCGTTAACACATAAGTCAACTTTCCAAACTTAAGCCTTCCCAAAAGAGACTAAATGTCTCAAATCCTCTCTGAATCCACTCCAGACCCGAACCAACCTACCCAACATATCATAATATAGGTGAAGAACACAAAAGGAAGTAGAAAGAGGGAAACGGGGTTATAACTCTCGATACGACTGGCCGGGTCGTTATATCCTCCCCCTCTTAAATATCTTAAATAACATGAATACATTTTCATTGGCACCCAAAAACTCAAAGATTAACAGTTGCATTGGTCAATTTGGGGAGCACTACTCAAATTTTTATTCGACAGTAGTGCCCCCGCTATTTTCAAATCCTGCGTCCGTTTCTGGATATCGACTAGGAGTTTGACCATTCCAAGGCTTGGACTCGAGCAATTGATTAAGGGTAGAGTTATCCCATCCATCTCACCACATTCTTTGGTGGTATTTTAATTGAATTTAAGACCATAAGAAATCAAAATGTATTTCCTTTCCGTACAGTTGTACAACGTGTCCCATTTTTAAGATGTCTGAACCAGGTCGACGTAGAATAAGTTATAAATACATGAGTTTTGTGCCTTTATTCGAATACTCTGCTATATCTGAACTTATTAAAAATAAGAAATACCTTAAACATGTGTATTCTCAAAATATCAATGTTTGGCCACTGGCTTTTTGTCTCATAGCCAAAATGCACTAGCACAAAGCACTATTAAATAGGGAAAGTTTCATGCCTATACGTAATACTATAAGCGTGTGAAAAATGGGATCATCTCAATCATTTCTGAATAAACATCAATCCTATGCAACATAAGTAGATAAATAAACTTTTGATACATGCTTAGATGGAGGTCGACAAGATAATACGCGCGATACACTTATCCAAAAACAAAAAAAGAACAAGATAATATAATACAAACAAAAATTAAACTACTTAACTATAATTCCATCTCTAATTCAATATACGATCAATAGAAAAAAGTAAAAATGATCAATCGTTAAGACCATTGGCTACGAATATAAAATGAAACGATGCTATTACAAAATACATCAATTTGATATTAAAAGGAAAACCTTACAACCTTTATACAGGCAGATACAAACTATTGAGATATTTATCATATTACTTTTCATTATTTTCCTTTCCGGTTCAGGTTAGTTAGTTGCTTCATTCCGGTTCAAGTTAGTTAGCTCGAGTTAGTTAATGAGTTAGTTAGTGGTTCGAGTTTGTTAGTTGCCAGTACATAGGCATGTATATATACGTACTCTTCTCAGAATTAATACACAGATTTTTGAGCTTCTCTTCATTTCACTTCTTTATTTTGTTCTGGAATGTTCCTCAACTGCCATGGCTACCATGGCTGAGCTCGGTGGCTGCATTTTTTAGCTTCAATCTTCTCATGGTATCAGAGCGGGGTTGATCTCGCGGATAGATCTCATCTCTGTAATCTCTTCTTGTCTGTTCCTTTTTGATTTCACTGTGTTTTTGTTGTTTCTTAGATCTGATCTAGATTTTTTCATCTGATCTACTCGTTGTCGAGTTCTCTAGTTGCTGAAAGTTGAAATTCTTCCAATTTTCTCCCCCGATCGTTTTTCGTCATGGCTGTAACTGATCAGGGCAATTCGACTGGTGTCGAGACTGCTGCAACTGTCACTCCGACAGGCACAGGACTTGATCCTAGTGATCCTCTGTATCTTCATCCATCTGACAACCCAGGAGCTATGCTAGTTTCGACTGCATTCGATGGGATAGGTTATAGATCTTGGAGGAGAAGTGTGTTGAGAGGTTTGTCTATGAAAAATAAGCTAGGGTTCATAAGCGGAGAGTTTAAACAACCTGATACTTCATCACCTCAATTTCGACAGTGGGAACGTTGTGATAATATGGTAACATCTTGGATTCTAAACTCACTCTCTAAGAAAATTGCAGACAGTGTGGAATATGCAAGCGATGCTGTTGAACTTTGGAAGGAATTGGAGGATCGATATGAGCAAACTAATGGAGCTAGGTTGTATCAAATTCAAAAGGAAATTAATGATCTCTCCCAAGGAAACCTAGACATTACTGCATATTACACTAAATTGAAGAAACTTTGGGAAGAACTTGCTACTTTGAGAAAAAGGAATCAGTGCAATTGCGTTTGTAATTGTGGAGCAAAGGAGAGCATGTATAAGGCTGAACAAGATAGGAGGCTAATACAATTTCTTGTGGGATTGAATGAAGTGTACACAGTGGTTCGAGGAAGTATACTTATGATGAATCCATTGCCTAATCTAGCACAAGCTTTTTCATTATTAGTTCAAGATGAAAAACAAAGAGAGATCAAACCTAACAACCACTTAATTGTAGACTCAGCTTCACTGAATGTAGGGACCTCAGGGCAGAACTCTTTTAGAACAAATTTTCAAACTGATAACAATCGTGGGCCTTCTAGGGGAAGACTCATATGTGACTATTGTAAAAGACTAGGACACAGTAAGGAAAGGTGTTACAAGTTACATGGTTACCCGCAGAATTATTCTACTCAGAGCCTTGCCCCTAGACAATTCTCTAATAACCGCAATTATGATCAAGGTCCTAGATACAACAACAAAGGAAAAAGAGTAGTTGCAAATGTGCAGGGAATGACTTATGAGATCACTACTGGGGAGGAAACTGAAAACAAGGCACAAGATGATGGCAGAAATGTGAGTCTTACTCAAGAGCAATATGGGCAGCTGATAAGTATGCTTCAGCAATTTCATGAGAGGAATGGAGATGCAGGGAAAGTAGCAGGAAGCTCTTATTCATCCAATGTCAATGCTGCCAACTTTGCAGGTATGATAGTATGCACCTCTTCTATTGATTTTGGTAAACTTACTTGCAAATGCTTTGAGTCCAAGACTGATACATGGATACTAGATTCAGGGGCTTCCAATCACATGACCTTTGATAAGTCCCTATTGTCCAACATTCAATTTCTACCTTACCCTCTTCTAGTAGTCATACCCAATGGATATAAAGTTAAAGTCTCTGAAATTGGTGATGTTGTTCTTACATCTAAGATAGTATTGCAGAAAGTTCTCCTTGTTCCCTCTTTCAAGTTTAACCTGGTTTCTGTTTATTGGTTAACCAAACATCTCAGAGGAATGGCATCTTTCACTGACAGTGCTTGACTTCTGCAGGCCCCTTCAGTGAAGAGGCCTCTGGAGATTGGTAAAGTAGAATGGCTTGTATCTGCTCTGCTCCAAATGCCTAAGGAACAATAATACCTCTGTGGCCTTCAATCATTCATGTGATGTAAATAGTCCCTCCTTGAATAATACTCAGAGGCATATGCCTTCACCTGTAAATAAGCCATCTCTGAAGCAAATGAAAAACATTCCTACTTCTTTTACTTCTTCTTTGAATGATGGATTGTCTGAATCTGCACCATGTTTTTCCAATAGTGTAGATATACTGTGGCATAACAGACTTGGACGTGTGCCATTTACAAAAATGAGACACATTTCTAACATACCTGCTGTTTTTTCCCAAAAACAATCATTTATGTGTACAATTTGTCCCATGGCCAGACAAACAAGACTTCCCTTTCCTCAGAAAGCTAGTACCTCTACCAAAATCTTTGAATTACTCCATGTGGACCTATGGGGACCCTATCATGAACATACTCATGACAAATGCAGATACTTCATTACCATAGTGGATGATTTTAGTAGAACTACTTGGACTCAACTACTAGCTTGCAAGAGTAATGCACTACAGATAATCAAAACCAAGGTCCAATCCATTAGATCTGATAATGGATTAGAATTCAATAACCAAGAAACCAGTGTCTTCTTCCAGTCCAAGGGCATTATACACCAAAGAACCTGTCCCTACACACCACAGCAAAATGGAGTGGTGGAAAGGAAACATAGGTACCTTCTTGAAACGGCCAGAGCCTTGCTTTTCCAGTCCAAATTACCTTTGAAATATTGGGGGGAATGTGTCTTAACAACAACTCATATTGTAAATAGACTGCCCTACCACATATCTCCATAACAAATCTCCTTTTGAAGTGCTGCATGGGAGACAACCAGACTACACACAGTTGAGAAGTTTTGGTTGTCTGTGTTTCCCCACAACACCCAAGGTGCACCTAAACAAGTTTGAGCCAAGGTCTGTTCCACATGTTTTTCTAGGATACCCTTTTGGTGTCAAAGGGTATAAAGTTCTGAACCTATCAACTAGGAAAATACACATAAGCAGAGATCTCGTTTTTCATGAGTCTATTTTTCCTTTTGACATCTATTCCAAGTCCAAATCTGAGTCACTTCCCACAGTTTTTGATATCACTTCATCTGATGAACCTGTTGGCCACAATGATGTTGCAAAGATGCAGACCAATGATCCTTTTTGTGACAACACATACATGTTCACCTAGTTCAAATGATCCAGTATCTGCTCCATCTTCCTCACCACCTTCATCTTCTACTTCCCCAGTTCCAACTTCCTTTCCTGACAATTCTGCGCCATCTACATCATATCCACCTCCATCCATTGACCATTCACTGGTACATCATCCTTCCACATCCTTGAGAAGGTCACAAAGGGAACACAAAGCACCTGCCTACCTAAAGGATTATGTCCACAAAATCAGCAACTCTAATGAAAGCTCCTTTTCTCTCAACTCCTTGTTCTCTAAGTGTCACCACATAGCCCATGAATCAATGAATCCTAGTAGTCAGGCATTGGTCAATAGTGTTTGTAATGTTAGTGAGCCATCTTCTTTTGAGGAGGCTACTGTCAGTCCTGCTTGGCAGGCAGCCATGATCCAAGAATTTGAAGCTCTTTATGCTAGTAATACCTGGAACTTAGTCCCTTTACCATCTGATAAAAAGGCAATAGGTTGTAGATGGGTCTACAAGGTAAAACATAGATGTGATGGCACAATAGAGAGGTATAAAGTCAGACTTGTTGTGAAAGGCTATACCCAACAGGAAGGTGTGGATTTCACAGAAACATTTTCTCCAGTGGTTAAAATGACCACAGTGAGAACCTTGATTGCAGTAGCAGTGAAGCACAGTTGGGCAATGTTCCAATTGGATGTCAATAATACTTTCCTCCATGGGGATTTACATGAGGATGTGTATATGCAGTTACCACCAGGTCTCATGGTAGAAGATAAGTCTTTGGTTTGCAAGCTGAATAAGTCTTTGTATGGGCTCAAACAAGCCAGTAGACAGTGGTATGAAAAATTAACTGAAGCACTGTGCTCTAGAGGCTTCAACCATTCACTAAATGACTATTCATTNTCTTGGTCACAGGCACAGATATGAAGGAAATACTACAGTTGAAAACTTTTCTTCATGACAAGTTCAAAATAAAAGACCTTGGCTCCCTGCACTATTTCTTGGGTCTAGAAGTGTTGTATAAGCCTTATGGTGTGATCATCTCTCAAAGGAAATTCGTTCTAGATCTGTTAAAAGAATACAATTGCTTGGATTACACTGCCCTCAGCTCCCCACTTGATCCTCATGAAAAACTTAAAGCCAAGGAGGGCAAGCCTCTAAATGATCCAACATTTTACAGGAAGTTAATAGGGAAATTGAATTTCCTTACCAATACTAGGCTGGACATAGCTTTTGGAGTTCAACATTTGAGCCAATTCATGCAAGATCCTAGAGAACCTCACTTGAAGGCTGCCTACCATTTGCTAAGATATCTCAAAGCTGATCCTACTTTAGGTATTCTCATGTCCAAGTCTAAAGACTGGACTGTTAGGGGCTTTTGTGACTCAGATTGGGCCTCTTGTCTAGATACAAGAAGATCTGTAAGCGGGTACATTGTCTTATTAGGAAACAGTCCACTCAGCTGGAAGTCCAAGAAGCAAGAGGTTGTTTCCCTGTCTTCTGCAGAGGCAGAGTATAGATCTCTCAGAAAACTAGTTGGGGAATTAGTATGGCTAAGCAGACTTCTTGCTGAACTGAAAGTTCCATCTATACATCCAATTTCAGTATTTTGTGATAGCCTGTCAGCCTTGCACATAGCAAGAAATCCAGTATTCCACGAACGCACTAAACATATCGAAGTTGACTGTCACTTCGTGAGGAAACAGTTACAAGAAGGCCTCATCTCATTACACCATATAACCACTGATCAACAACTCGCAGATATTCTTACCAAAGCTTTGACTGGCGTAAAACATTCAGGTGTCTTAGCCAAGTTGGCAGTGTTTTCACCACCTCCAACTTGAGGGGGGGTGTTGAGATATTTATCAGATTACTTTTCATTATTTTCCTTTCCGGTTCAGGTTAGTTAGTTGCTTCATTCCGGTTCAAGTTAGTTAGCTCGAGTTAGTTAATGAGTTAGTTAGTGGTTCGAGTTTGTTAGTTGTCAGCTGTACATAGGCATGTATATATACGTACTCTTCTCAGAATTAATACACAGATTTTTGAGCTTCTCTTCATTTCACTTTTTCATTTTGTTCTGGAATGTTCCTCAACTGCCATGGCTACCATGGCTGAGCTCGGTGGCTGCATTTTTTAGCTTCAATCTTCTCACAAACCGAGTTGAGATAATAGGCTGACACTATTTGCACAAAATTTTGCTTATGCCACTGATTAAGGCTTTCTAAGAATATGATCATATTGACAAATCTTGATCAATAAATCCTTGCAGAAAAATAAATGAGAAGCAAGTTTATTGCGACAGCTCTTGATGAGTATAAAGGCCTTATAAATAGATGTTATTCTCTTGGGGTTGCTAGTGGAGGTATAAACATAAAGCTTCTTTTGTGCAAAGATAGCCACTTTGTTTGTCTATCTCTCACTTTCAATACATGAATTGCTTCTCACCACTCCACCAAATGATCCCATCAATCTTCCCTTTTATATATTTCTTCACTACTTCTCCATCTTCTCTACAACAACCAAAATAACCACTTTCCTCTCCTTCTATAGCAAAAATACCAAATTTAAAACACTTTGGTAAAGTTCACTATGACTATTCAGAAAGTTATCACCCTTGTGTTTTTTCTTACCTTGTCCAGCTTTTGTCAAGGTACAATAAATGATCAATCTCAGTTCTTTGTTCTAATGAAGAAGTCTCTCACAGGGAATTCTTTGGCTAATTGGGATAGTGAAAAACCTCTTTGTCAATATAAAGGAGTTGGCTGTGATAATCAAGGGAATATTACAAAAATTGATGTTTCAGGATGGTCTTTATCAGGCCAATTTCCTAATGATGTATGCACTTATTTACCAAGATTACAAATTCTCCATCTTAGTCACAACAATATCAAAGGTGGTTTTCCTAAAAGCATCACTAATTGTTCTTTTTTGGAAGAGTTGCATATGAGCGCAACATCACTTACAGGACAAATTCCAGACTTGTCACCTTTGCAATCCCTGAAATTACTTGATCTTTCCAATAATCAATTAACAGGTGATTTTCCTTTGTCAATTACCAACCTCACCAGCTTAGTCCTCCTCAACATGAACGAAAATCGCCATTTCAATCCATGGCAGTTACCACAGGATATTTCCAGGCTTACAAAACTCAAGTGGATGATCTTAACAGCTTGCAAATTGCATGGACCAATTCCAGTGTCAATAGGAAACATGACATCTCTTATTGATCTTGAATTAAGTGGAAATCGACTAGTTGGTAAGATACCAAGAGAGTTAGGGAAGCTAAAGAATTTGAGACTCCTTGAACTTTATTACAACCAACTCGAAGGTCAAATCCCCGAGGAGCTAGGAAATTTAACTGAGCTTATAGACTTGGATATGTCTGTTAACAATTTAACAGGCAAAGTTCCCGAGTCTGTAAGCCGACTTCCTAAGCTAGAAGTTTTGCAGCTTTACCATAATTCTCTTTCAGGAGAGTTTCCAGCAGCACTTGCGAATTCGACAACCTTAAACATCCTGTCCCTTTATGACAACCTCTTCACAGGAGAAGTCCCACAAAACTTTGGTCTTTCATCAACTTTGTTAGCATTGGACTTGTCTGAAAATCAATTTTCAGGAAAGCTACCACCTTTTCTTTGTAATGGAGGTAAACTGAATTTTATTCTTTTACTTCAAAATATGTTCTCAGGTGAACTGCCTGAAGGCTATGCAAAGTGTGAGTCTGTTGTTCGCTTTCGAGTGAATTACAATCAGTTGGAGGGAAGAATACCAGAAGAGCTTTTTACTCTTCCACATGTTTCAATTGTTGATGTGAGTTATAACCATTTTAGTGGTCCAATTCCTAAAACAATTGGAAGTGCTAAGAATTTATCTGA